ACACATCTTCTGAAGCATTCATGCACATCTAATGGGCAATGAAAACTGTCAAGGAAGATGACCCTAATTTCCAACACAGTTAAAAAGGTCCTTGGAGTAATGATGAATGCTACTACTTGCTAAAGGAAGCCAGATCCAGCAAGAAGATAGATTGAATGAACTTAAGATTTTAAGATACCATAACTAATCCAAATTCATGCAGAAAAATCTTTAACAAGATGATTTTGTGGTATTTAATGCTTGATTTTCTATTCTAAGTGTGCTTTCTTTTTTCTCAGAATCAGTTTTGATACTTTTATCATTCAGGATCAATTTCTAGAAAAGGACTTCCAAGTGCTATCATTTTACTATGAACTATACTCCCCTTCAATTTATATTGTCTTGATGGTGTCCAAAAACCAGATGGAAGTAAGCTCGTTCCTCTAGTAACCAGCCATAAGCTCAGAAGTACACTCTGGCCAGCACATACAAGTTCCTCTTGCTGGGCAAGGAACAGCGTCTTCAGTTAGTAACTGAGTTCCTTGTCATTAGCCTAGCTCGCAGCCCTGTCCCAGCCAGGAGTACACTCAGATCCAAGTGAAGGGAAGAGCAGTCAAATGACAATCCCAGTGATCTTGCTCCAGAATTCTAATTAGTGCCTCTGGTCTACAGCCTGCTCAACTTCTGATTCAAGAATATGGGACTCAGCCTGAAAAACCAACAACTGTTTCCTAACCTCCATGACCAGAAAAACATCCCTACTTATACTTCAACTTTTGCCCAGCGAACCAAGCTACAACCTAGCTTTTCCCTCTCACTATTCAGTGCCATCAGTGGAATGCTAACCATTCTCTTAAAGATGTCTATGTCCCCTTCAGTTACCTCTTTCTGCACAGGCCCTAGCTCTTTAAACACAGCTGGGTCAACCAAGTACTAGGCTGGAGAACAGATGAAAGCTTCCCCAATTCACAGCTCAACCCTCTTCCTAGCCTTCTCTCCACAACTCTATGGACAGCTGATTCTTAGTGTCCAGAAATTATTCAGACTTCTTTCCAGCTTAACTCATTCTCCCCCCAACCTCATCTCTCCATTACTAGCTTTCCAAGATCCCTTCATTTCTCCAGGACCCACTTTTGGCCTTTCTTTCTTCTACATTTTGCAGAATTCTGATTTTCAGCAAACTTATAAAATGGTAAAACTATCACAATCCAATGTTACAACATTTCTGTCAACTCCCCACAGTATGACACTGTATTGCCCCTGGCCACATGTGGCTACTTAAAGTTAACTAAAATTCAAATGCAGTTCCTACATAGCTCAGCAATACATATGACCACCGGCTACTGTTCTGCAGTGCAGATGCAGGACATTCTGAACAGGAGGTTTCTGACTGGGACCCTTCACAGTTAATAATCAACACGGTTAGATTTAAGGGCCGTCTTGCTACTTATTCTCCATTTGTCCCACTTGCTTTCTGTTCACTCTTCCTTATCTTCTATTAAACTGAACACTCTATCATCATATCTTATCTTCACTATTTGCTTATTAACTCTACCTCTTTCCACCTTTTTTCTTTCTTTTTCTTATGACTGCTCTAGGGCAGTGGTTTTCAACAAGGAACAACTTTGTCCACTAGGGACACCTAGCAAAGTCTGAAGACCATTTACGGCAACTAGGGCAGGGGAGGAGGATATACTGGCATCTAGTGGGCAGAGGCCAAAGGTGCAGCTAGGCTCCTAATGGTCCTTACAACCAAGACTCCCCCAGCCCAAGATGCCCTGGGCACCAAGGCTGAAAAGCCCTGCTGTGGGCTTTACCAAGTGCACCTCCAATTCATCACTCTCTTCAAGTAGTGCTCCAGCTTCTCACTGCGCCACCTCCTCCAGACTCGTGGCTGTGCTGTGGAGTGCCTAGCTAATCTAATCTACTTCTCTGGGCTTGATTTTTTCCTAAGAAGTAATAGATCGTCTGTAAGAATCAACGATGCAGGCAAAGTTAAGCACAGTTCCTATATATGACAGGTGCTGACTTCCCAGAAGATTTTAGGGATGGGAAAGGAAGGAACAGAAGGCCGAGAAAGCGAGTGGTCTAAGTTGTCCCCGTGCAAGTGTGGCATGACTTGTTCCCAACACTTGTTCCTCGCCCTCTGCTGCTCTACTTCTAAATATGACGATCAGGCTGCGACCAACTGGACTGGCTGGCAAAGTTTGACTCTAAAGAGAATTTCAAGAATCTTTTGGCCTCTGATATATAATCCCTTTTATTTACCTACATTTAATTGAAGACATCTGTAAGTGGTGCCACACAAAATGTAATTCAGACTCAGAAATGTCAATAAAAATGTCTGTAAGGCAGAGGTCCGATGTAAACCTAGCAGGGAGTGCACATCAGCAGCCACAGAGCCACACAGAATTGAAGTAGAATGGAAATATGCGGCCTGACTTGACGAGGTGATAAAAGCTCTTTTCCCATAAAGCTTAATGAGCGCTATTAGTCTTCAGCTTACAGGAATGTAAAAGGGTCAGCTCCACAGAGGGAAGGAGCTGACTCTCCACACATGGTCCATTCAAATGACAACATATCAAATTACTGATGTAATTACTATAACCTGACAATTTCATTAGATTCATGTGGCAGTTAACTGTTTAGGACTTACAACAAAGGGACATGGTTCATTCATAGAAGCTTTTGTAGACAAAATTAAGTTTAAAGTCAGCTTTATTTTCAACTGCAAGTCTCAAGTATGTGTCTCTACCAAACTTATTTTTCTTTCCTTCAAAATTAGGTAGGTGTTGGGTATTTACCATATCTGTAATTTCCCTTCTTCAGCTAAAATAAACTTAATGGCAAAATTAAACATTCTGAGACTTCTAACATCCTCCTGCCTTGGCTCTGCTTGGGCTCTCAGGTGTTGTGCGGTGGCAAAAATACAGAATCCTGGGCTCAGGGCTGCTGAAGGAGCTCTGGGGGGTAGCTGCCACTCACTAAGCCATCAGGCAGGCCCTGTTTAAGTCCCAGCTGTGCAGGGGAGCAACTCAATTTAGCTGCCTTCTCCTTAAAACCCTTACTCCAGGTCACTCCTCTAAGTTCTTAATGAAACTCTATGACATGATTACAAAAACCACTATCAAGGCTATCAATGCACCTCTACCCACTGTGGGTCCTTTATTTGAAGAGTAAAATGATTTAACTTTTCATAGTTGATGCTAATATTTTGTGTATCTCCTCCTTTGATTACTATAAACTTTTAAAACATATTGACTAGAATTTGCATTTTACCTCATTGACTACTTGATCAAATCTAACCAAATGTTATTCAAAGAAACAGAATTTTTTTATTCTAAAAGATCATTATATTCAACATAATAACTCTTTAATTACACTTCACCCAAGTTGCCTTTTTATTATACATATTTTATGGACAAAATTATATATCCTTATATAATTAATTTTTTGATCTTTTCCTTTGTGATACTTCCTACTGCTTCTATAGTAGAAATTGCTTCTTCAATTAAAGAACAGACTATAAAATGTATATTGCCTGCAAGTTTCTTCTGGTTTGGTTTTTGCTTTACACTAAGTTCTTATTTAAAACTCAATTTTTCAGGCATTGTGCTCATGTTTGTTACAAATCAACTCATTTAATTTTAATGACCTTCTAAGTATTATTTCCATTTTTAGATTGCAAAACAGCAATGCAGGATGTCATTATTATAACCCAACAATTTCATTAGACTCATGGCAGTTAACGGTCCTTGGGCCACCTAAGTGCCTCCCATTTCAAAGCCCAGAATATTTCTTTGTTCCCACATGCCCCTCAGACACTGGAGGTTTAGAAAATGTGACCAAACCTGGATGGTACCAGTCTTTCTGGTTTGGTCCCTTTCCCTTGGAGATCACTCAAACTGGCCACCGGAGTGTTTAACGTGCCAGTGTGGGCACCATAACTCATCATGAACAAAAACTGTTTCAATAACCAAATGAACACAAGGTTACAGAAACAGAAAATGAATAACTGCCAGTATGTGGGGAGGTCAAAGATGGGCTTACAAAGGACATAAGACTGAGGCTCAACCATGGAGAGGAATGTGGTTTGAATGAGCTGGAAACAGGGAAAGAAGCACAAAGTGAAATAAGCAATAGATGCAACAGGAAAGGCAAGAGGAAAGCAAGGAGCAGAGCTGGCATGTGTGCGCTGAAGCATCACCTAAGGGAAGAACACAAATACCATAGGATTCCAGCAGCATGGTTCACACCTGCTCCTCTTTGTGGCCTCATTTGAGATGTAGGAATTATTATTTGCATTTTAAAGATAAGAAAACTAAGGCTCCAAGAAGCTGGGATCTGCCCAAGATCATGTGGCTGATGAGTGAAAACATGTTCTTTTTCCAGGTCTTGCCAATCACCTACAAGTTTTTCTGCAACTGCAGCTCACAATGATACCTGGTTCTCTAAACATCGAATCGTTTTTCTTTATCTTAAAATATAATTACTGGATCCTCAGTTCTGTACTGAGAACCAGGATGAGTGTTCAATGAACAGAAAATGAAGCACCCAAAACCATGCCTGTGTGGCAACAGAAGCTCGCTGCAAATCCCCTGCTCCTGTCCAGTCAACTCATGGGCTTTAAAATGGTCTCTCAAACCAGGTGAAACCTCCTCAATTACAGCTTTTGCCTGTGATTTCTCCAGGTCTCTTAACACAAGGTTAATTTATATAGAGTTAAATAAACAATTGTGGGAATAATGGAGATACAAGACTATTTAAAGTGAAGGACTGTTCACTCTACTTACTGAGAAAGAAATGAACTTAAAAAGGAGCAGTGACCAGTTATGAAGGTGAATAGCTGTAACTTGTAGAAAATTTTACCAAAAAAGGCTGTACTCATCCCATTACTATTATTGAAAAATGTGTTACTTCAAAATGATCACTCCTAAATTGTCAAATAAATGCCTAATGAAAGATACCAATATGATACTCAATTAACAATTCTAGTATCAAAGTCAGTCAGTAACTCTTACCTCCAACGGTGAACTGCAAAGGAATCTCGTGAACTGCAGAGGCAAATTTGAGCAGAATCAATTTATCCAGTCAGTGGGCAAAAAAAGAGAACACAGAAAAAGGAAAAATCATTATACAATTTTCCAGTAAAAGCATCTAAAGTAAACCCAAAAGTCTATATAAAATTAGTGTTTTTATAACATTGTATGGCTCATCCACAGAGGATGAGAAGTCCAACTAGCCCACAGCCCTAGGTACCCAACTTTTTAAATTAGGAGAGTGAATAAATATTCCTAAATATTTGTATAAAAGCAAATAAAGCACAACAATTAGTACCCATTTTTTTTTTAAGTTTTATTTCACAACCTTTATCTTATAGAAACACCCTCTAAGGGAGAAATCAGCAAACTTCCTGACCTTAAATGCCACCAGCAAAGTTAAGTTACTGCCCAAAAAAAAGGGGATACAAACCACAGGGGAAGCCAGGAAAGGTGGAGATAGAGAACTGAGGACCAAGAGAGGAGGGAGGACACAGGGAGGCTCGCTGTGGGGACAACCTGGCAGTCCTGCTCTCATCTCTCGCTGTTTTTGCCTTCTTTTCTCTCAACTCAAATCTCCCCTTCCGCCCTTCCTTTTTGGCTTTCTCCCACTCTCCCTCCCTCCTTTACCCTCTCTCTCCTTTTTAATGTGTATCAGATTTCTAGAAAACCACCCAAAACAGCATTATATGCTGCTTGTCTCTCAGCATTTAAAGAAGGAAGCAATGGGCAGCTGGTGGGAGCGGGGTGGGGGGTGGCAGGGGACGACAAAGCAAATTGTAGGCTGGCTATGAAACGAGGACTGTCACATAGCTTCACACATGATGGTAATTCATGTCTTCACAGATATATTTACAGAAAAAAAAAAAAAAACATTTCAAATCCCTTGATATTTACTATAATATCCAAGTAGTATATAAACTCATATTTCTAAACACAAATTAACTACAATAAACTGGGCATGGTGGTGCACGCCTGGAGGCTAAGGCAAGAGCATCATAAGTTCCAGGCCAACCTCTACAACTTGTTGAGGCCCTAAGGACTTAATGAGACCCTGTCTCAAAATAAAACAAAAAATGGGCTGAGAATGTGATTCAGTGATTAAGCAACCCTGGGTTCGATCCCCAGGACCCCCACACACACACCAAATTAACTACAATAAAATGCAATGGAAGGCCTGTTTCTAAGCACTCAGCTTCCTCTCCACAACAAAGCCAGGCAGCACTTAATAGGAGTTTAAATAATTTGTATTCTCCTTCAGAGACACACCTTGAAATATTTACCAATGAAATCATATGAGGCCTGGGATTTCCTACTAGATTACTACAGAAGGTAGAAGGAAGTAATGTGGGAGTGTGAGGATAAAGTAAGATTGTCTGTGATATGAAACTAGTGAGATGAGGCAATGAATACATAGGATTCATTGTGATTATCTCTACTTTGTGAACATTTAAGGTTTTCCATAATAAAGTTTGAAAATATATTTCAGACACACCCTCCCCAAAACTCAATAAATATACTCCTAAAATATCGCTAGTGCATTTCAAAGCTATGCAATTGATTAGCATCACCTAGGGCCTAGATGACATGATACATTAAAATACAGACTCTAGAAATGTTTCCTTAAATATCCATGTGCAATTCCGTTATCTTAATATTACGAGAACTTTCTGAAAGTGCAAGATACATCAAAATGCTAAGTCTTCGGAATGCTGATATGAAAGAAGTCTCTGTATTAAAACTGAAAATCCAAGCTTTGTAGTCTTGGATTCTCCTCCAGTAGCCCAACCAAGACAACTGCTATTCCTCCCCCCAGGAGTCACAAGTGCCAGTTGAAATGCTACCCAATTTCAACAGTGGAAAAAAAAAAAAAAAGCAAAGTGTGGTGAGTTTTTATTTTAAAATCAGAAATTTGATATTACAGGGTTTCTACACTTTACCCCTGGAAGTGCATGATAACTATGTACACAAACTTTTGAGTTTATAAGTAGTTCTGTAAGTGATACATTAATTAAGACAGAAGCTACTTTAAATAACAAAAGAAACATATAAATAGTAAGAAAACTAAGTTTCCTTGAAGCTCCATAACTTACATTCATCTTTGGCATATATATGTGTAACATTTGTGTCACAGCTTTTTCAAAATAGAACTAAAAATTCTTATCTTGTTTGAACTGCCAAAACATGAAATACAAAAGTTTCCAATCCTGAAGCAGTAAAAACAGAATAACAAATCACAAGACACAGATTCACACTATTCCCAGACATGAAAGATTTCAGAAAATGCCGCTTCTCCATCAGCACGCCAAAAAAACCCATGGATATCCCATGTTTGAATTCAGTTGACTTCATAAGTCTCACAATGAAGTTATACATCTTATGTTAGGTACAGATGCTTATACCTTCAAAACTAAAAATTATAAAAAAAAAAAAACATGATTGCAAATACATTTTGTACATACACTGCAACTGACATAGAAAAAGTGCCCTTTTAACAAATGCTACCATGCAGTCTTGTCATAGTAACAAAAAGGCTATAGCTCCCACTAGGCCGGGTGGCACACGTCTGTAATCCTGGAGGCTCAGGAGGCTGAGGCAGGAGGATTGCAACTTCAAAGCCAGTCTCAACAAAAGCAAGGCACTAAATAACTCAGTGAGACCCTGTCTCTAAAGACAATACAAAATAGGGCTGGCCCCCCCAAAAAGGCTATTGCTCAATTTTTCTGAGGCTAAAAACTACTAATAAATAAATTTTACTAAAGTTTAAAAAAAAAAAAAAAAAGATTATGTCCATAGTGAGGACCCATATTTATACCTCAATACCATTTTTCTAATATGGCCGTCAAATAAGAAATAAAGGACAGAGTTAATGTTTAAAAGATTCTGTTCAAGATATTTAGCATAATATTGAGAAAAATGAAATAAAGATTTTAGCATATTTTACACAATTATCTTAACTGATTTTAGATTCAGTAAGAAATTTTACAGAAAAGGGAAATACAACACCAAAATGCAATTTTTAAAAAGATAAATCACATTTCAAAAAATTTCTTCTACACCAAAGAATATCTGTGAGGCGTTTCCATCAAAGTAGATTTCCAAGTCTTATAATTGCTCCTACACATTCCCAGAACTTCCTTGCATTAACCAAATATTTCTACTGTCATAGTTCCTTTTATTTATTGTGTGACACTTGCTGTCTTACAAATTAATGTTATTTGGAATTGTGCAATTATCAATCTAAATCACATTTCAGTACAAAATCCCAAATTTTTCTATCAGGAATTTGGAAGCCTTAATTCAATTAAGATTCTAAATTAGCCAGGTATGGTGGCGCACACCTGTAATCCCAGAGGCTAGGCAGGCTGAGGCAGGAAGATCGTGAGTTCATAGCTAGTCTCAGCAACTTACCAAGGCCCTAAGCAAGTCAGCTAGACCCTGTCTCAATAAAAATTTTAAAAGGAGGGGAGCAGTGGTTGGGGATGTGGTTCAGTGGTTAAGTGCCCCTGAGGGGCAATCCCCAGTATGGAGGAAAAAAAGATTCTAAATTATGTTAAGTAACATTTTAGACCCCTTTCTCACAGCCTACAGTCCTATAATTTTTGGTACATTTTTACAACTATTTTTAAATTGTCTGCTTTAGTGTAAAACTGTTTTGTGTTAAGAATGTCTCTCTTATAAATCTACAATTCTCAGAAATTAATCTTATTTCACAAAAGAAATAAAGTTCATTGTTCCATATTTTACAACAGAAAAATAAAGCCTTCATATATAACCTAAAGACACAACTAGCCCCCATTTTTTTAAAAACTCATCCTAAGAATTAAGTCTGTACTTGAGGGAGTTAAAACTAAGGTTTGAGAATAAGGGTCTTGCTTATCCCACTAGTGGGGAATAAGAAAAGTAGATTCAGATGATTCTCTGAAATCATTTTTTAGAGCTACTCCCTGTTCCATTTGCCAGCAATGCATATGAAAGGACCTTGCACACTATCTCTTCTGATTAGACCTAGAATCCTGAACAAAACATTAAGCATCAATATAGCTTAAGACGACAATGAAGATCTTCTTTACATTTTAATGTACTTAAACCTACGTCTTCTGAGTTAGTGAAAGGAAACGTGAACAGTTTCTCATCTGTAAGAAGATTTTGGGCAAACCACTTTTCTTGGTTTGTGCCATGGCATGCCAGGCTTTTCAGACATTTCTTAAAAATGATTCCATGACCAAATATACTTGGGAAACACTGTTTTCTAAGCTGCCTCACCTCTTTTCTTCCTTGCCTTCAAAACTTACAAGGTATACTGCAAATTCCTAAATTTACAAACAAGAAACACTTCAACTTCATTTCACTCAGTTATTTGCAAAGTTACCTGACTAGCGATTTTTGTTTATTTTTAATTTTATGTAACATCTATTAATATTCTGCAGAATCAATTTTCCACAAAACTTGTTCCAGAAAAAACACTGGTCCATGCCAGCTCTGATTTGGTTCCCCCATCTGTACTTACTAGGAACACCCTCTGAAAATACTCAGTATGGCTCTCAACAATGTAAAAAAAAACTCCATTATAAATGTCAATGAATCACTATTCTTTTTTCCCTTTAAAAGATCTGGTTCAAACCCAGTGACACCTCTCTCAAGGGGGTCCTTATAAGAACCTTCGGGGTTGGTAGATGGGCCAATGCTCAAGACAACACCATGGAAGGAACTATAATAAAATGCCCCAGGATGACTAGAATTAATAATCTATACCAACAGAAGTCAGAATGCAGTTAGCATATGGGGGGACAGTTCTGACTGGGAGGGAGCACAAGGGAGTCCTGAGCATGCTGAAAATGTTCTCTCAATCTGAATGGTGACTCAAGAGTATATACCAATATATTCAACAAGGCATACATACACCTAAGACTTACATACTTTACTAATACAAATTAAAAAATTAAATATTAAAAAGTAGAAAACACTACCAAGTTTCTCCTAGGGATTCTTCCTCAAATCATTAAAACCACAGA